CCCTGCTTGTGTTCCTGCTCTCGCTGTCTCTGTCTCTGTCAAATAAATAAATGAAATCTTTAAAAAAAAAAAAAAAAAGAAGTTAACAGTAAGTGCACCTGGGTAAAGAGTATAACAGCTCTTCTCGGTACTATTTTTATTTTGCAACTTTCTGTAAGCTCTAAATTATTTTTTTTTAAAGTTAATTTTTAAAAAGCCAGTCCAGCATGTTCTGGACCCTATCTCCAAAAACAACAGGTATTTCCCTGTCTCTCTCATCTTCCTTTTCCCTCTTCACTAGAGCAATCTGCTAAACTCAGACACATCTTTAAGTGCAAAAAACAAAACAAAACAGAACTGCTCTAGACCCCCAGCCACTCCAGACCTACTAAAAGACTTATCTACCACTCCAGCCTGGCCTCTGCTTCACTGCTCTTGCTAAAGTCAGTAAACACACCCAGGTCGCCAACTCCAACAGATAAATATTCAGTTACTACCTACCTGACCTTTCCACAGTGTTGACATCCTTTTCCTTGAAAGAATCTGCTTCTCCTCACTTTTGATCAGACACCTGTCATTTTCCTCCTGCCCTTCTGCCCCCTCTAAATCTTCTGCCATTTCCTAACTCTCTCCCAAACTCTCTCCCGGACTTCTCGTGATTGAAGTTCCTAAGATTTTTCAGTCCACTCTGTCTTGCTAGGCGGTCTCATCCATCCCCGTGCCTTCAAAAACCATCCACGTGCCAATGACTCCCAATTTACTTCTCCAGCCCACAGCTTTCCTCTGAATTCCGTATTCACACAGCCTGAGTGCCCTGACATCGCTGACTGAAAGGTCTCAAACTTAACATACGCAAAAGTGAACTCTGGGTCTCCCCCAACCCCATACCTTTTCCCCCTAGTCTTTCCATTTCATCGAGTGCTACTTCCATTCATCTAAGTCAGAAAATCCCCACCATCAGTTGGATGTTGACATTACAAGCAACGTTTTTTCGTTATGCTTTTCAATGGTTTAAAACTTCCCTACAATAAACATACATACTTATGAAGACATTAAAGAACCAAAACCTCTTTCTTTGAAACAGAACAAAACAAAGATGTGCTTTATAATCTCTATTTTTGTTCTTAATTTTCGCTTTATGAATGTCTAAAAATTAATATTAAGTTTCATATTACCGGAAGTGTTTGGATTTACTGAAGACATCATGGAATCAGCTTCTATCTAGAAAAGAAGAAAGAATAGCACATACAATTTCATCAAATGTTTTCACAGTGCAAGTTCTTAATTCCTGAGGTGTGGGGAAGGATTGTATTTTATGAGAAACCAAATGTCTTGAGTTCAGCTGACAAGTACTATCACAGGACAGCTATAAGAGTCATTTTATTCTTCCATCTATATCTAGGGTGGGGGGATGGGTGAAATTGGTGATGGGGATTAAGGAGGGTTGTGATGAGCACCGGGTGTTGGAGCTGTTGAATCACTATATCATACTCCTGAAACTAATATTACACTGTGTTAACTGGGATTTAAATAAAAACTTAAAAAAATAAAATAAAAAATAAAGTGGTATTAAAGCAAAAAATATCCCTATATCTATAAGATACAATATGCTAATCCGCTACAGACTCTAATGGCCCCAAAACTGTTCCATTGACCAAAACAGTTTAAGCATATATAATCAACTTGGCTGTCACATATGCAGCATACCTAAAAGGTAACCTTTCTATTTTAGACAAATACAAGCGATTATTGCAATGAGCTCGATGGCTTTATTTTTGAACTTTTTTTCCTGATTATAAAAGTAACATGATGTAGAAATCATGAAAAATATAAAAAAATCATGAAGAACGTTTTTAAAAACAGCCATCCAAGGAGAACCGCTATTAACATTTCGGCCTAGTCTGCATTTCTCCCCTATGGCTTTTTAAACATATTTCAGAACACACCCTATATACGGTTCAGGAAACTGCTTTCACCATACATTAAAAATATAAGCATTTTCCTGTATGGTTACAAGGGCCTTATAAACATGATGGAATTGGAACCTTGGCAACACCTCACATAGTTTCTCTACCTTGGATTCTATACTTTCCTGGTTCCTCTTGCCCCTGCCAGGTGGTTCCTGTTGCATCTTCATGGAGCCCCTGCTTACCCTTAAATATTGGTACCCCCCAGTGGTGTATCTCTCACCCTCTGCATACTGTTCTTGGGCAACACCACCCAGTCTCATGCTCTGAGCTATCACCTGTAAACTGAGGAGTCCTGAATCTGTCTCCAGCCCTTCCCTCCCAATTCCTCACCTGGTTCCAGACTCCTGCATTTACAAGGGGCGGCAAAATCTGAGGGCAGATCTTTACCACCAAAACCTTAACACCAGCACAGTATTTAATGCGTGAATTCACTTGGGAGTCCACAGCCTCCTCAAACTTAATGTGCCCCAAACTGAACTCAATGACTTTCTCCCAGGCCTACTCCTCAGTTTTCCTACTTGGTGGCATTTACTATTGCTTCAGGCCTGGTTTCACACCCCTCTCTTACAGCCAACCACATCTAATCATCAGGGCATAACATGTCCCAACACAACAAAGTGCTTCTGGATACTTCATATCAGAGGAGGCTAGCTAGCTCTTCTAGTCTAAGTGATGCCTAAACTCCTACTTTTCACTAGAATTAGAAGACCCTCTTCCTTGTCCCCTTCACTTTGGGTTCTTTCTGTTCTTCTCATGTTAGTATTTATCACAGAGTTTTATAAGTCTCTCTACACTAACTTGCGATCTGCTTCACAGTAGGGGCTATGTTTTATTCATTTTTATATCACTAGCAACTAGCAAGTGTTCATTTTTTTAAATAGGAACACTTCATAAATTTCATTGTGTAAACAAGTGCATGAGTGTATAAATGATTTATTACATGTCGTGCATTTCAGTAAATATTTCATTTGCTCAAAAGCAATATTCAAAAATAAAACCCCAGGGGCTCCTGGCTGGCTCAGTTGGTGGAGCATGCAGCTCTTGATCTTGGGGTTGTGAGTTCAAGCCCCACATTGAATGTAGGAGATTACTTAAAAATAAAATCTTTTAAAATTAATTAATTAAACAACACCCCAAACCTCAAGCTAGTATAAAAGTAAAAATCTGTTACATTTCACAGAGGGTATGCATTGTCATTTATTTAACACAAGTTCATAATAAATGACTGACAGGTGTACAGATGATTTGCTATCACTTTACTGTTTAGTGATCTGCAGTCAGATATTTGATTAAAAAATGAAATCTGCTACCTCGGCAAGGTATGTGAATAAAAGTAAAAATCTGTTAAATTTCATGGACTGTACATATCTGTCTTACCACATCACTGTACTTGTCATTCATTTCCTCACTTATATTCTAAAATTAAAGCCAATTAAGGAGATTCAGGGATGATAAAAGCAGAATGAAACCAGCTATCTTTCCAGCTGAACACAGGTTAAATACAATGCTTCAAAGGCTGGATCCATTTAGCTGACTTGCTTTGGAATTCTAGCTGAAATGACTGCAGGTGAAGAGAAGAGCTGCAATTTCTGGGAGTCAGCCCTGACTATTTCTCTGAGCTCCACAATCAGCATCTCAGTAACCAAACATTTGCTAGGAGGTGAACCACTTTGAGCCCACCTGGTCCGTTCATGGGACAGATTGGTGTCAACAGAACTTATTTACCGTGCGTGAAGTTGTGATAAGTTTAAGCATAATGAGAGATGGAGACGCGATACATCACCTGGTTCCTGGCTTTGCTGGGCTTGCAATCTGATAGGCAGAGCTCACTCTTGAGGAACAGCCAGGCCAAACTGGTTTAAGGAGGGCACGGGGCGGCGGGGGGGGGACATTACAGGCAGAGCCCTCTGTTTGATGGCTGCAACTGAATTTCTTAAAGCTGGACAAGATCTTGTCTGGTTAATTCCAGTTCAGCATCTTAATAAGAGGGATCCATCTCTAGAATCAATGTAACAAGGGGAGCAGGAAATCTGTCCTCCTAAAGCAGGACGCTCCTTGAAACTCAGCTCAACTCTCCTTATTAGTGAATTAGTGCAAACTTTCCTGAAGAATAATATCCAACAAAATTTCAAATGTACCTAGCAATTGTACTCCCAGGAATTTATTCCATAGATATACATCCACAAGTATAGATATACATATAAAAGGATGCTCAACAAAACGTTTATAGGAATGAAAAATAATGGAGGCAATCCAAATGACCAAAGACAGGAAACTGGCTAAAGATAATATTACACAACTACTTTTTTAAAACGTGGTGGTGTGTGCTTTTATGTTCATTGTTAAGTGAAAAAAGCAAAATAAAATAGGTATACTATGTACCCACTTATGTTTTTATTTAACCCTTTATTTTTTTAAAATATTTTTATTAACATACTATTTGTTTCAGGGGTACAGGTCTGTGATTCATCAGTCTTAACAATTCACAGCGCTCACCATAGTACATATCTTCCCCAATGTCCATCACCCAGCCACCCCATCCCACTTATGCTTTTAATAGAATGCTAGGCATGTTTGTTATACATAGGAAATTTTGGAATGACACACAAACAATTGTTAATTATGGTAACCCCTGAGGAGTAGGACTGTTTGGTAGCAAAGGAGGGAATTTTACATTCAACTTTATACTTTTTCCAGACTGTCTGAATTTTTTGTCTATGGAAACGTATTAGTTTTATAATTTAAACGAATTCCTGTTACCAATTCCCGCCTCCCAGCCTTCCCTCTTGACATCTCCCTAGCATCTTGCATTTATTATAAGCCTGGTGGTGAGAAAGGCTTCATGAACTCTAATTCATCCCTGAGTTAGGTTCTTAAGAAGAGTAAAATTCAGCACTGGACACATCTCTGAAATCGCTCTGAGAGGCAGTCATTTTAAACATCCGAAACTAGCCACTGCACTTGACTTAGAACCTACCCACCCTTGTATTGTCTGCCCCATTCCCAAATAGATGAAGAAAGCTCTACCTTGGAAGGCTTGTACCCAAACAGCATTACAACAGCAACTTTAAAGTCCTCTCTGCTTAGATAGCCTTTGTTATCTTCATCGCATGCTTTAAATACCTAAAGAACATTAAATAGCTTCAGTTAGACCGAAACGGTTTGTTCTGTTACTTCATTACTAGTTTATATTAAATTTAGACCTCTAAAATCTAAAACTTAGCTGAGCAGGAGGGTTCGGAGATGGGAGTTGCATTATCTTAATTTTACTTCTCAAGAATTATTAACGTGCTAAAATTTACCCCCCGAAATGTGCAAACGACTTAATCGCTAGACTGACGCAAATTAATTCCTTTAAACCACTGGGATAAATTCTATCCAAAATTCAGTCCTAGAATTAGGAAGGTGAGACAGATACAAGGTTAGAGGTTCTTATTAATAAACTGGATATGGGAAAAGGAGCTTGGAAGTAGCCAGGACGCTGGACAGAGAGCGAAAAGCCTTGCAGCCCTCGGCTCAGTCATTAAGCACGGGCCTTTGGAAGGACAGTGCAGTCCTTGTCAGTGCAACAGAGATTACTGAGACCCAGGCGGGTGAATGAAATGGGAGCCCTTGGTCAAAAGTCGGACAATCAGCCCTCCGGACACCTACTTCCACCCACTTCCTGTGTTCTGAGGGACTGGCTTCCCACGTCCGTGGCCGGGCTCCGGCCTCGGAGAAAAACATCGCGACCACCGCAAGCGAAAGGCACCGGAGAACCCGAGACCTCCACCGCCAGAACCCGGTTGCTGCAGTCCTCTGGTTACGCTCACCGCAGCTAAAGAAGCTGAACTTGGCCGGGCAACTCCAACGTCTTTTCCCATTGGACGGCCTGCTAGCCACTGGCGTTGATCCCGCGGTTCTATTGGCCAGAGCTTTAGGCCCGTTTCCTTGGAACGGCCTATGGCGGCGAGGCTCCTGGGCCCGCCCCCAGCCTTGCTACCGCCATGCTCGTCCCCTTAACTCCTTGCGCACCGCTGGGATCCCGCTCACCTAGGTCCTGCTTCAAGGTCTCTAGCAAGGTTCCTCCCATTTTTCTGCCCCCACACCTTGCAATAAGTTACTTTGGTAATTTTTATCTATGACACTGTGCTGAGCATAGGAAACACAAAAAGTGTGAACAAAGCATTAAAAGAACCAAAGAGCCAAGTCCAGGATTCATGTGCATATCTGCAAGTCAAGTTATTGGGGTCCATCCCTCCAGGGCAGTTACTACGGTCTGTTTTGTCCTCCCGATATCCCTGCAGGAAGATGTTCAGTAAACGAACCAAGTCCTTAGGACTTTTATGATTTTGGAAACAAAGCCAGAAGGAAATGTAAATAAAATTAAATGTTCTTATAACCTGCAGCCCATTGACAATTACTTGATGCCGCAGCGTACATCCTCCAGGAAGCTCCCAACTGTCTTAATGTTAATGCCTTGCTAGAGGGAAAAACCACCTTAGCTTGACAATAGCAAGGCCTTCTTTATCCCGCGAGTACTTTTTAGCAAATGAAAGTCCTTTTGGAAACTTCCCTAGTCTTTACCTCCCCCAACTCCAACGTATATAATCAGTTGCTCCTCACAATCCCCCGACAGCAGTTCTGCCCCTGGGTCCTATCGTCGTGCCTTAGTAAAACCACCTTTTTTGCACTGAAGGCATCTAAGAATTCTTCCTGGGCCGTCAGTTCCAGACCCCAACACTACTCCAAAAAAATCACATCAGTTTACACCAAGCTGTTCCACTAAGCCCTTTAGGAGAAGTGCCTAGCTTGAAAGAAACTGAGAATAAATGTTATAAACATTATTAAAGCCAAGGAATATGGGGGGGGGGGTTGCGTTTTGCAAAAGAGTTTTAGACCCCACTCTCTTCTGGCAAACCAGTAAGGTTAAAAACACACGTTTCAAATAAGAAACAGGCATTCGCGTTTGAGTGTGACGGGAGCTCATTACCCTTTTATTTTACAGCAGGTTCTACAACTTTGCGTCCCCAGCGAGCCCGCTCCTCCGGGATACAGGTCTCAAACCACAGCGGCCTCGAACCTAAGCTAATCCTCTCTCTGCCTAAAAGTAAATACCCCCTGCCTCGAGCTCCGGGAAACTGAACCTATGACACTCCCTGCAAAGTGGATGAGTTTCGCCCATTAACTAAGGGAGGAGAGAGAGAACACTTAATTTTCCCTCTCCCCCTTTTAGGAGAAGCGGTCAGGGGGTGAACCGAGAGCTGGAGGCTGCCGGGACCTCCCTTGCACCCATTCCTGGGGGAGCGCCCTGCAGCCCCTCAGGATCCGGAGGTCTTTAGGACCCAGCGGTGGGCGTCCCGGAAAGGGAAGGGGCTGGGCCACCAGGTGCGAGCCCCGACCGGGAGGGTTTAAATTGCGCGCAAGCGCGGGCGGCGGAAGAGAGAGCGCGAACCCGTGGGTTGTGGGTATTTCAGGGGCGAGTTCGGCTGTTGCCGGCTGTGGAAGTTTCAGGTTCGTGTCCGGCGACTGCGGGACCCTGGCCGGGGAGACCCTGCTTCTTCCGGCCTAGGCCTCTCGGGTCCCGCGAATTCTGAGGCCCGGTGAGACTGGAGGTGGAATCTGAGGGAAGCGGGGTATCTGGTAAAAACGCTGGGGAAGGTCCCCTTGTGGGCCTCATAGAATCTGTCCGGCGCGAGCGGCAGGCGTCGCGGCGAGCCGAGGGCGGCCGGGGGCGTGGGTGCGAGGGGTCTCCGCGCTGGGGTTTTTACTCCGGCTTCTCGGCGCGGCAGGTGGGCGGTATCGGCAGGCAGTGATGTTGGCGCGCGTGGGGCGCCTACCCTGTGCCAGACACTGAACCTTTCTGAGCCGGGTTGCCTTGTACGCGGAGCCAGTCATTCGCGGGGCTCAGTATAGACTTGATGCGAGGGGGGGAGAATTTCTTCAGATTTCCATCGTCCTTAGCAATACAGCTTCATGCGGTTTGCCAAATTTCAGTCATTTGCCTTTCTGTTTCTTGGTTTTTGTCTCACTTTTAATATCTATACCATTGTTTATTTGGTGTTTTTATTTGAACCCACTTTTACATAAATATGGTCTTTAAAACTTTATTTTGCTGGAAATAAAATGGAGCCATAAGATACTTTGATTTTAAAAAAGTGTTACTGGTGCCTGCAGAAGAGCCCAAAGTTTCTTGAGGCCTTTCTGCAACACTACGACTGTCTCCTTAATTTAAACGGATTGGAAGGGAAAAGGATGGTACTTCCATACTGTGATACTAACGTTTGGTCCCAGTCACCTGCACTTTGGAAAACACTGCTCTGTGCAGACCTGCTCAGAATTGGTCCATCTGTATTGTGATTGTAGAATTCCCCCAGCGTCACCACTTAACTCAAAATGGGATGTTGGACCGGTGATGTGCCAGATGCAGCCCAGGAAAGACAAACAATTGAAGGGAACGCTATTGAGTTCCATCTTTAACACTGTGACTTGGGACTTGATTACAAAAGCACCCTGCAAATGCCTGTGTGGCAGAGAAGTAAAATTCGAATACTGGAACCAGGGAGTTCTCCACAGGAAGTCAGTTCCTGATCTTGGCCTTTCAACCACTCCTCTTCTTCAGGCTAACAGCCCTGACACCATAAAGAGCTTGGTAACCTGCTGAATGTAATGACGATTTTTTTCTTTCAAAGGTATTTTGCCTTTAGTAAATAACCCAGCATATTTAAGTGTGAGCAGTTCCAAAACTTAAGCTACGTCTACAGCAGACAAAAGCATTTTTTCCCTCGAGGAAATGTCTTTTTCAAAACTTTTTTTTTTAACCAACTTGTCCTACTTTGGAGGGAATGAATGGTCTTTCTCCTTCCCATGCATGTGTGGTTCTAGAAAATGTAGGTAATAAAACTTGGAAACCTTAGAATTACTCTAAATAGCTGAGTCGCTAAAGATGAATATCTTCCTTAGAGTTTTCAGGACTTTTAAATTCCGTTTTATTGAGATGTAATTCATCTGGGAGAGGAATGGTGGTAGCCTGTAAGGTGTCTGCATACAGCTTTTCTTATGCTGGAAGCTGAACCCTTTCCACCTAAAAATTCTGCTTTAGAATGGGGAAGGAATCTATAAAGAACAGCCTGGGAACTCTTAATTGATTCTTTTACTTAAGTTCCTGGCTTTACTGCTATTTGAGAATTCTTTGAAAGCTAGAGCTAACAGTTTTTTTCCTAAGGTGTTTCTATTCTGAAATAACTTTTTGAAGTCACAAAACTGTAGCCATCAAAATCATTCCTTCAGAGTTCCTTTAATTCACAGCGAATTGTGATGGCTTAAATACCTCTTGCCAGCAGCCTCCAAGAGTCTAGAACACAAGAAGAATGTAAGTTTAGAAAATTTAAAAAACCTGAACTGTTCAAATATGTTAAGTACTAAGTCTAAATATTTCATGAAAATCTAGCCCTTGTATCCTGTTAACGGTAATACAGTTCTAACAAGCTTCTTTCTTAACCCTTAGCAGATTAGAAACAACTTAGGGAAAAAGCCTACTGAGTTCTTTTTTTTTTTTTTTTTTAAGATTTTATTTATTTATTTGAGAGAGAGAATGAAAGAGAGCACATGAGAGGGGGAAGGGTCAGAGAGAGAAGCAGACTCCCTGCTGAGCAGGGCGCCCGATGCGGGACTTGATCCTGGGACTCCAGGATCATGACCTGAGCCAAAGGCAGTCGCTTAACCAACTGAGCCACCCAGGCGCCCAAGCCTACTGAGTTCTAACAACTCTTAGAAGTGGACTGGACAGAACACTTAGAAAAAGAGCTAGACAAAGTCTAGGGCGACTAGTACAGGAGAAAGAGGTCCCATCCATCTCTGTAGTCCCTAAAGCTTCGTAAAACAGTATCCACGCCAGGTGAGGTTAATAGGGATCCTGAGCCGAGAAGAACAGGTCAAATTATTGTTTAAATGCACTCAGTTTAAAAAAAAATCTTGAAATAGGTAACTTACAGGAGAAACTTGATCTTACTTGACTGGTCATGAATTGAAAAAGTGAGAAATTGTGAAACGTGATAGATACCTTAAGTCTTTTTTAACTTGGCCAGCAACTGGCTGGCTCATTTAGAGCATGCAACATTTGATCAGCCTACTTAAAACCTTTCTAGCTTGAAACTTAAAAGTGTATTCATTTGCAAATCTTTTGGTGTGGAATCAAGCCTTTTGCAGGGGGAGGGGGTCCTGTGAACAGTTCTACAGTCCATCTTGGTATACCAAACTTGTGTCCTCAGTTTCTTTAAAAGAACAAAACTGACAATAATTTGAGCACAGACTCTTAGGTTAAATTTTTCTCTGGGTCTTGTATGAAAATTTTATTTTTATAAATAAGTTTTTAAGATTTATTTGACAGACTCAGCGAGAGAAGTAACACAAGCAGGGGAAATGGGAGAGGGAGATACAGGCTTCCTGCTGAGCAGGGAGCCCGATGCGAGTGAAATTTTTTTTTTTTTTTAATCACAGTGAGAAACTGTTCCTTAGCTATCTGAAAAATGTACTTGGCCTTTGCACTTGAATTGGTGGGAATTTTGTAGGTAACAAAACTGAAAGTACTTCATCTAGTTTCTTAAATAGAAACTCGACTGTTTTAGAAAACAAGTGTTTTGCTTCTGTGCAAGTTCTCTGCAGGTTTTAGTAGTTTGATTTAGGACAGGGCCATTAAGGTAGTTGGTCCTCATGGCAGCAAATCTAGATAATGTATATACAGAATTAAGCGTTTGACACTGTCTTGAGGATTTTGTTAAGCTTTACGGTAAGTAGCTTATCTTTGGTGAAGTAAGAAAAATCGCTAAAGTCTTGTGGGCTCTCATGCTTGGGTGAAGGGTAGATTTGTAAACTCCAATCTGACCTCAAAAATTTGAGTATAGTTCTTGAAATTCCTTAAATTATCTTAACCCCAAGCACCTGTTAGAAGATTCAGCATCAAGAGCAAATATTTTTTTGGAGTTTGGCCCCCAACTCTTTCCTCAGGCCTCTAAGAACAAGGTCTGGGTTGAAAGAGAGGAGAAAGTAACTAGGATTTTTGCTGTCACTTTATTTGCCAAATTCCTGTAGCAGATTCTGGGAATGTGCCTCTGAACACCTGCAAAACAGCCGACGTTCGTTACGTGGCTCAGCATCTGGTAAGCGTCAGGTGTGCTGTATGTGTTGCAGAAACTAATACGGAATTTGAGAGCAACAGTTTGCCAATTTCCTAGTGAATGGAAATAACAATATTTGTCTTTCATTTCCAGAAGTATGTCTCAGGAAGGTGATTATGGGAAGTGGACAATATCCAGTAGTGATGAAAGTGAGGAGGAAAAGCCAAAATTAGACAAGCCATCTACTTCTTCCCTCCCACATGCTGGGCAGGGAGCCGCAAATGAACCAAGATACACCTGTTCTGAGGCTAGGAAAGCTGCCCATAAAAGGAAATTATCACCTGTAAAGTTCAGCACAGATTCACAAGCTTCACCTCCCAAAAAGCAGAAGAGTGGTTCCCAGGAAGACCTGGGTTGGTGTCTCTCTAGCAGTGATGATGAACTGCAACCAGGAACACAGGAGAAGCAGGCTAAGTACATGGTGGTCAAAGAGGAGAGCGGCATCTCTTCTCCCAAAGACAGTGCCACCCAAAGAACTGGAAATCATGGCTCTCCTGCCCACCATGGACTAAAAGAGGAGGAAGAGGAGTATGAGACCTCAGGGGAAGGCCAAGATATTTGGGACATGCTGGAAAAAGGGAACCCCTTCCAATTTTACCTCACTAGAGTCTCCGGAATTAAGCCAAAGTATAACTCCGGAGCCCTCCACATCAAGGGTAAGTGGATGCTGCATGTCTGGTAGCTGTCAAACAGCACTTGAGAAGGTCCCCTTGGCAAAACAAGGAGGGTAACCTAGAACGATCTCCAAGAACCCTTCACAGTCTTAACTACCCTCAGGAAAACTACCAGTTTGACAAACAAATGTGTGTTTGACAGCAAGCTGTTTACTTAGGGAATTATAGGGTGTTTCTCAGTCCTGTAGATTTACCAGTTGGAATACTTAGACAATTTTAAACATCGTGCTAACTTTTAAAGCTTAAACTTTAATGAAATAGCGATATCTGACAGCAGTACCATCACCTAAAACTTGATGCAGATTTGGGGCTCCACCCAGGTTCACTGAATCAAACTCTGGGAGCAGGGCCCTGCAATCTGTTTTAAGAAGCTTTTCCGGGGATTCTAATGAGGGAGCAGAAGACCAGCTGAGGACAGGCAGAAGCTGACACCCCACAATCCCCCCTGACTCCCATGGGATATATGTGACATTCCTCAGACACTCCTGGCTGCCCTAAAGGAAAAACAGTTAATTTATAGAGATTAAAATCCTACGAAACATGAGTCTCAGTTTACAAAAGTCTTAGAAATTCACAAGAACAAAGCATTTCTATCAATGGCCTAGCTTCCAGAAGGAAATGTAGATACAATTAAATGTCCTTATGACCAGCAGCCCATTGACAGATACTTGAAGTGGGCAAAGTGTAATGTTCCTCCAGGAAGCTCCCAATTATCTTACTGTTAATGCCTTACTAGAAGGAAAACCAAGCTTAACTTGGCAATGGCAAGGCCTCCAGTATCCTATGAGTCTTCTTTAACAGACAAAAATCCTTTTGAAATCTCCCTTTTCCTTACCTTCCCCAACTCTCAAGTATATAATCAGCCATACCTCACAAACGAGGGGCAGCTTTTTCTGCCCACTGGTCCTGTCCTCGTGCTTTAATAAAACCACCTTTTTGTACCCGAGACATCTCAAGAATTCCTTCTTGGCCGTTGGCTCCAAACCTCACCCCACCTAACTTCACCTGTATTCCAAAACCCCATCACTAAAGCCCAATCAGGTTTGAGAACCACTGCTTGGAAGCCAGGTTTTTGTTCCTGGTGAAGAAGCAAAAAACCAGCATGCAAATAGGTATTTCAGTTCTGAATCAAAAGATAGTCTTCGGTTGCTTTGCTTATTCCTCAGGGTGCATCTGTGTGATATTATGATGTATATGTATTTGGTCTTCATTCCTGGTTGGTTTTTGTCCCAGGCTCCTGTAAGAGCCCTAAAGTAATGAAGGTCAAAAGAATATTTTCTGGGGCGCCTGGGTGGCTCCGTTGGTTAAGCGTCTGCCTTGGGCTCAGGTCATGATCCAAGGGTCCTGGGATCAAGCCCTATGTTATGCATGCTCCCTGCTCATCAGGGAGCCTGCTTCTCCCTATCCCTCTTCCTGCCACTCTCCCTGCTTGTTCTCTCTCTCTGTCAAATGAATAAAATCTTTAAAAAATTCTGTTCATAACAAGCCCCTTTCAGTCATACCTGGTTTGTTAATAAAGTGGCTTTTGGAAAGCCCTTGAGAATGGAGAACTGATTGCCAGGGAGACCCAATTGTGTCATTAAAGCTGGAACTTTCATTCCCATTCCCACACTTCCAAGGAGGGGGAAAGGGGCTGGAGGTTGTTAATCATTAATGGCCTTTGTAATGAAGCCTCACTTAAAAAACCCTAACTGTGTAGGGGTTTGGAGAGCTTCCAGGTTGATGAACACACGGAGGTGCACACCCCTTCCCGCATACCTTGTTCTTTGCATCTCTCCCATCTGGCTGTTCCTGAGTTGTATCCTCTTCTAATAAACTGGTAATCTAGTAAGTAAAGTGCTTTCCTGAGTTCCGTGAGGCATTCTAGCAAATTCTCAAAGCCAAACGGGCCAAATAGGGGATACTGTCAAGAAACTGCAATACATTCCTTTTGTGTACCTCTCATAAAGGTAGGAGCTTGGGCACCTGGGTGGCTTAGTTGGTTGGGCATCTGTCTTTGGCTCAGGTCATGATCCCAGGGTCCTGGGATCGAGTTCTGCTTCGGGCTCCCTGCTCATGGGGAGCGTGCTTCTTGCTCTCTCCTTGCTCCTCCCCCCTGCTTGTTTGTGTGCACGTGTGCGTGAGCGCTGTCAAATTTATAAATATATATATAGGAGCTTCCTTAAGGCAACCTCTTTTAAAATTTTTGTACCCCAGCATGTAGCTCAATATTTGGAAGAAGCACTCAGTAAGCATGGGTCAAATAAAGGAGCCTACTTTTTTTTTTTTTTT